GACGAGGCAGCTCCCCATTGCTTCTTTTGACTGCTGTTGTACTATAGCAGACTTCTTTTTCCTTTCTGCGCAACACTCCTTCTTTTCTCTTCATTTTGTGGTTCCTTTTGATGGGCCTTAAGTGTCCTGAACAAAGCAAACTAACCCAATAGTCATATGTGAAAAAGATAATGTTAAATTTGCTTCAGGTCTACCTTAATTCCCACTTTCGACATTGCTCTGGTCCACTATTCAAAACAGTTGCTCTATATGAAAAGAAGAAGGTTAAAGGGCGTGATTTATAACCAAAACATGGGTTTTGTGGAACAATTTGCACTTAATGGGCCTCAACTCTTGAGGACTATCAATAACCTGCGGAACTAGTGGAAAAATACATATAATAAAGCAAAATATAAACATCCATTCGATAGTACCAAATACCAAATAATTTAAAAAATTAGTAACCTATATAAAAGGATATCATGATGGAAACCATCCACTCATTAAGATTGTATTATAATCTTCAGCAGTAGCTTTGATCTAATAAAATCCAAGAGCCTAAACTAAAGTAACCTTTAAAATAAAAAGTAACAACAAACAGGTTGATCTCCTCCTCCATGCATGCCTAACTAGAAATGCTATCAGAATTCAATATACAGAATAACTCAAATGTCAAGTAACTAACCACATCTAACCAAAGCAGACCAAACAAGTTACACGGTTCTAAAATCAAATTAACAAGAACTTTTTTTTCTACCATGTTCAAAATCATAGGTAAACGTATAAAAATGCAACATATGCATATATGATGAATTCATACCACAATCAAACGAAATAATATAACATAATTTCACAAAAAAATAATACAGGGAGAACAGAGATTTTTGAGATGTTACCGCTAGTAAAGGCACAAGTCAATCCAACAGCGAAAGCTAAAGTAACGGTGAAAATAAAGAGGAAGAAGTAATTGAGAGGGTGTTTCTGGTGATAATAGTAAAGGGGACATAAGTACATAACGCTGCAATATGCCACAAAAATGGAATAACTGTTAGAAAGAAGAAGAAAAAACCAGATAATGTAACTAATAATAATAAAATATTTAATTAAAGAAACTCGATTCGAGGATAAATTATCTAGCAGGGGACCTGTTTCATTGAGTAAGATCTACCAATATTAACAAAAAATAAAAAGGTGGTAAACTGTTCCAAAATGAGTTTTTTAATCTTGATTATGGAATGAAAAAATCCCCAACATTTTGTTTTTCTCTCACCCACTTTCTAAAGTAACAATTACAGAAATATAAAATGGTAACAGATTTCTCACATTTCCCGTCTTCTTTCTCGTCTTTCCTCAACTCTATTGTGGACAATGGCTCGTTGGAAAGGAAGTGTAGGTCAGAGAAACTCAGCTGATGAAGAGAAAGTAAAAAAAAAAATTAAAATTGAAATTTATGTGTCCGCACGTGCGGTCATTTGACCCCACGTCGGGCCGCCACTGCTAACGTGTCAACATTTTTTTTTTGAAAATATTCCAATCGGTTCATTGCTTCGCAATTAATCCGATTCGGGGCGGGTCCAGGTTTAAGGCTTTAAACCCCTCCCAAATGTGGTACTGGGGAGATTCGAACACATGTTCTTACCCCCACCTGCTTAGCTCCCATACGCCAACTGAGCTACCACCATTTGGTCCTAACGTGTCAACATTTAACATTTTTAAAATTAATGTGTCAGAATATCGTGTTATGTCGTGTCCTATCCTATATTCCGTGTCGGTATGGATGCAAAATAGAATATGACATCCAATTGAGCTTTGCCCTATTACTTTTTAGTTGTTCATATCACAACCCGATCTGAGGATGGTATGATGGTAGGAGTATTACATTTAGGAATTTGCATTTGACATTTAATATGACACAACAAATTTTCCTACACACATGACACTTTGTGGGACCCACACTTTTTGAAGAAAAAAGAAAAAAAAGAAATTACGACACACAAAACGAATCTCTATAACATTACACAATCACTTTTCCTACAACATAATTTTTATAAAATCCTTACATTTATTACTAGCCATAGAGGCATGTTTGTTTTGGCTTTTTTGGCTAGAAATGTTTGTAATTAACATTTATGTTTGAATATACATGTCACAGCGACCAATTGTCATATCACCAATCAACATTTGTATCACTGAAATGATCATCGGTTAACAAGACGATACATCTTTTACCCCATAAGAAACCTCCCCTCCCTCCTCCTTTATGTGAGTGTGACGATTAATAATTGCCCACATAATATTTATGAAGAGACTCCACACTCATAAGTAGGGAACATTGATCAATTATGTATCATACATTGGTCACTTTTTTACCAGTATACCACGTGAACAGTAATATTTATTAAAATGTCACGTATTCGAGTTCGTTACAGCAAAAAGCGAACTCGATTTGATGATGTAGCGTGTTTTTGGTGGTCATCTAGTTTGTTACTGGGTGTAACGAATTAAGTAATAATTAATACCTATCTACTCTGACAAAAATAGAACACGTGACAGTATTATAGAAGTTCGCTAAAGATAATAACGAACTAAATAAAAATAGTTGTGCCTGATACATACAAGTTCACTATACTAAATAGCGAACTATGTGTTATAAAAAATGTCTAAGGATTACCGTAGCTAATGCTTTGCTTTTGTCATTATGCTTGTATTGATACATGTGACATGAAGTCCGAATAGATAGATATATAGCACTTTTTCACATTGAATTATTGACGAACCCATGCTTTTGTCCAGAGATAAAGACTCTTTCTCAACTTATTACTTTTTTTGTTTTTGTTTTTAAATTAATTATGCAAAACAAAATTTACAGAAATTTAAAATTTAAAACAATATTTCAAAAATATTTTTTTTTTATAAAACCCCTTTTGTTTTTTTGTTTTTCTTTTTTTCCAACTACCAAAAAATGAGGTCCAATTTTCTCCAATAGAATCCCTCTCCTTTCTATCAAGGCAAACTTACTTTCATTTATTATTAGAACACACATAGTTCACTACGCGTAACAAATTTATGTGTGTCAGGTTATTTTTACTTAGTTTGCTATTATTCCTAACGAACTTCTATGATACTGTCACGTGTTTTGTTTTTGTCAGAACAAAGGGTATTAATTGTCACTTAGTTTGCTACACTCAGTAGAAAACTTGCTCGCGTGATATATTAGAAAAGAGCACTATTCACGTGACATTTAGATAAAAAAATTGATGAATAGTGACATTTTGGTCACTGTTCCCATAAGTAACTTAAACACTTAATCTAACAGTTTTGAAGCGTATGTCAAGAAATTAGTAAAAGTAAAGCTGTAAATAAATTTAATTAGTTGGCAAATTTAGTCTAACATGGGCAAACTCTACCTGAAATTAAAATTCAAAATTCATTAAAAGGATGTCGGGTCTTGCTTTTGTCATGGAAATCATTTTTACAATATTGATATATTCTTTTACATATAAAGAAAATGTCCAAACAACCCATATAATTTGTAAATTTTAATGAGCTTTTATATAAGTTTTTCCTATGAACTTTTGAAGTCGTTAAATTTAGACTTACTTATTCTCATACATCATCTCAGTTTACTTTTTTTCATGAATAAATTTAATTGATACTTTTTGTGTTAATGAAATATATGGTTGATATAAATATAATTTATATATATTAAGTATACATTTGGGCTTGTCTAAGCTTTTTCTTCAAGCCATGCCACTTATTGAAATTACTTGCAACTAGGGTGAGGTCAATGTCTAAGTGAAAGTTCTATACAAAGATTGAGAACGATTCATAATCTTAATAAAAGGACAGCGACTTCGGTAAAGAATTGGACGCAGGATTGGAAATGGGGTAAGTTGGTCATTGACTGATGGTAGGTGGAGTGGATTGTGGATAAGTTTTGAATGTCAGCCAGCACGTGCAATTGATGTCAAACATGCAGATTACATGTGCAAGGGACATCACGTTTTATTGCTGCATGTGTACTATACACAATAGTTGACACAGCACATGGAATAAATGAAACAATAACAAGGAGGATGAAAAATAATCACACGTAGACGCTAGAAAGTTCTTCACATGATTGCACATTTACATTAAGGGAAATATATTTTTTAAAATTATTCTATGCAACACATAAAAAATAAATAAAATTCATTTTTTAGTGAGTTCTATCCATTTTTTTATGTGTTAATGAGATAATTTATCTCATAATATGATAAACATATTCTCTTACATTAATTCACTTCAATAATTATGTACCTTCTCTAACAACGTAGTTATTGATAATTAAAAGTTAAAATTAAAGTTAATATTCAGACTTAATGCATCTTTTATTAAATATAAAAAAATACCATATTTATACCCATTCTTATATTTGTCTTTCCCATTTTATCCATCCGTTATTTTCCCTTAATTCTACCCTTTTCTACTATTAATATAAGAGCACATAATTATGTATTTATGTAACACCAAAGATGTGTTCATATACCAACTAATCCCGGCACAATTGATAGATAACTGGTTCTTTTATCATACCTATAAGAATTCGATTCTTGATTATATATATAAAAAAAGAATAATTTTTTATCATGTTACATGAAAAAAAATTAATCTCCTACACTCATAAAATAGAGGAGAGAGGAGAAAAAATAGATGAGAGAAAAAAAAATATAAAATAAATTTTACCTTTGAATTATGTGTGTAGAAAAAAAATATGTTAAGGAAAATCCATTTCAATAATCTTCACACGAAAAAAATGAATCCTCACCTATCGGCCAAACTTAAAGAAACTCAAAGATGTGTTCGTGTAGTTTCGTTGTGTATAGCTCAAATATACCATGCTTACAAATCAAACCAAACATAAAATCATTAAAAAAACTTGAACACGGAAAAAATAAACAAGCGAAATTCAACCATATATCACTCTGCAAAAATGTACAGGTAGCAAACAATATACATACATAAAAAACGCAACAAGGGTGCCTCAGTCCTTCTGTCCTATCTTTAATGCACATCCCACCCCAAGGTTCTTTTTTAGTAAACACAAAAAGAAAAGAAATTACAATAATGTAATTAAGTAAATATAAAAAGTGATATTTAACGTAGGACGAGAGAACTTTTAGGTAGGGTGGGTCTCGATGATGATCAAAAGGTTGAGGCCTTAGACCTTAGTGAAAGACTTGATGGTAACGTTGGGACCCAGAACAACTGGTTTAAACTCGAACGTAAACGTGTCGTAGCGCAAGAAGAATTCCACCAAGAACAACCTGCACAAGAGCACCACCAGATTCTTGGCGGGACATTGTTTATTATCGGGTGTGGGCTCCTCCGTCTCGCGTCCATTGGACCAGAACACGTGTTTCAACAGCTTTTCTCCATCACCCACAAACCTATGGCCCACAAACTCTTCGGGATTCTCGAAAATCTTCGGATCCTTTGTAGCGAACGGTTGATATCCAAAGATCATCTCACCTTTCTTGATCTCATAAGCCGCATCGTGACTATGCACCACCAGATCCTCCCTCGCCTTGGCGTACTGATAGGGTACAGCAGGCTCTATCCTAAGCGCTTCGTACACCACTGATTTGGTCAAAGTCATCTTATCCAACGCTCCGATAGTGACTCCACCTTCGTCCCTAACAACGGTCCTGATTTCATCAGCGAGTTGCTTGTGTAAACCCTCACCACCCAACCCGAGCCATTTGATCAGAATAGCGAACTGGTTGGTCAACCCACCGTAAGCGTTGAACCCTAACATGAAAACCAGGTTATGGCAAGCTTCGTCCCTCTTGATCCCCATTTTTTCTGCTTCGTCGAGCACCGCCGCACCCGCCGCCGAGAAACCTTCACAGAGCTTCTTGTAGCCTGACTTAACGGTCCACGACGGGAACGGGACCGTTCTGATCGCGAAATCTTCCAAGTAGTTGAATATCTTCGGCAAGCCGGCGGTGGCGAGCGGAGCGAGCTGAGCGGCGAGCCAGGTCTCGACGAGCTTGGGGCCGTCGGAGCCGATCTTGGTTTCGGCCGGATCCTTGTCGGTGAGGAGGCGGAAGAGGAAGTTGAAGGTGGCGGTGCCGTTGGAGGAGTTGAAGCTGCAGGATTTTCCGGCGAGTTTCTCTTCGAGGTCGGCGAAGTGCTCCGATAAGGTGTTACGGAAGAGTGGAACGAAGGTGTCGTGTTTGGAGGAGAGTATGTGGATAAAGAAACGCTTAAGGAGCGCGTGGGAAGGCTCGGTGGTGTCTTGGAAAGCACAGGTACGGTAACCGCCGGTGAAGGCGGTGGAAGGCATGAAGGTTCCGTCGAGGACGTCGCGCTTATCGACCTTGGAGTTGTCGAAGAGGATTGGGAAAGAGACACCGTCGAGAAGAGCGATGACTTTAGGGTCTGAAGAAATGAAGGGACCAGGTGGCATGTTGGTTCTGATAACGGTTGAGTTGTATTTTTGGACTCGGGTGGCGAAGAACTCGTCACGTCCTTGGTTGTAGAAGTAATCGTGTCTATCACTCATGGGTCCGAAAAATGGAAGGCCATAGCTTCCGGGGATTGGTTTCAGTGTTGAACTCTCTGAAGAAGCCATTGTTGTTTTGTTTTGCTTAACACTAAAACTAAAGCTCACTTAGCAAGTGTAGGAGTGAAAAATATATGTAATATGGAAGGGCATAAATAGTGGAGTTTGTGTACTAGAAGTGTCTTCTGCGTGGACAGTAAGATAATATATAGAAGAGAAATGTTTTTCTGGAGTTACATAAATTTTTTTATCTCATGTCAAATATACATCGCAATCCGAGTCTGTATTTTTTTTTTTTTTTTCTTTTAACCGTGGAACCCACCCAATTATATCTCTATATGAGATAATACTATCTCATATAGCATGAGAAAAACATTGCCCTGTATAGAATATAATATGATGAAAGAATGGCAGGGTCCATTTATGATTGATCTTTGTTTATTGTTAAAGTTGCCAACGAGCCTCACGTTGTGGTTGTACTATTGAATTAATACACTTCACATGGACTATTTTGCCGATACAATATGGTACATTGAACGTATTGTCACGTTTTTTTTAAAAAAAATTAGATAGGGTTAAAAAAATTTCCATGTTTGTTGACTGTTATAATAGTATGATTTGTCAAGTGACACATTTTTTGAAATTATCAAAATTGTTGTGAGTTTAGTTTAAATTCACTATCACGATTAACAATTTTGATGACCATCGTTTCGTGACATGTAACATAAAATTTTAAAAATTTTATAGTAAAATATATGGAAGTTATAATTTTTGGCTCGAGTGTCTTTATCTAATTTTTTTTATTTCGCATAATTTTTTAAAATTTACGTATTGATAAATCTTTGAAGGTCAAAAAAAATTTCAAACAATATTTTGTTGTGCTCCGTTTAACATATTCTATTTCTGCCAATAATGTTTGTAAGGTATCAGATTCAAGAATAAGAGATGAGAGAGAGAGAGAGAAATCAAGAGAAGAGATTGAATCAAATGATTTTTACTTTCAAAACCAAATAGATGATTACATGGGATATAACCACGTGTATTTGCTAAAGGCATCAATACATCATATGTAGTATCCAGAGTCATTTAAGCTATCTATGGGGGCTGGACCCCAAACATGAGTGTAAACTAATTCAAGAGGTGCATGATAGACAATACTAGAAATGGTAAAAGGAAGCTGGTGCATTTTTTCCATACAATAGGCACAACACAAAGGAATTTTTGTATTATTGAATGGTGTTTTACAATGAGAAAGTATTGATTTTACAGTTAAAAATGAAGAGTGACATAATCTATTATGCCATAATTCTAATACAAAATTAGAATAACATTTATTTGAGATAGATTTAGCTTTAGTTTGCACTTGGTAAGTTGAGTGCTTGGAAGCCTTTATTGTGTTTGTTCCTTCGAAGGCATAAAGTCCATCTTTAAGTTTTCTTTGGAAAACAATCTCCTTGGTAGCCTGAGATTTCACAAAACAATGGTCAGCATGGAATTCAAAGAAAACATGATTTTCCTTGGCAAATTATGACACACCCAGAAGATTCTTGGAAAGATCAGGAACATGAAGAAGATTGGGTAAAGTAAAGGATAAAGAATTAGATGATGATTGTAAAATTGAGTTACCAACATGCTGAATTCTCATACCTGAACCATTACCTATCTGAATTGTATCCTGTCCTTTGTAGGTAGTCTTTGACAACAACATAGATACATCAGGAGTGAAGTGGTTTGAAGCTCCTGAATCAAGATACCATGTTGGATAAAAAACTAAAAAGTATTCAGAAATGTTGTCATCTTGATGGACAGATGAAGCATTTCTAGCCACTGCAACATTTGCTTGTAGATGTGAATATGAGGATTCACCACGTTCTGATCTGTTACTGAATTGATTGAATGGATTTGGATATCCTTGATTGAACCTATTATAACATTCCCATGCTATGTGACCTGGTTTGCCACATAATTGGCACTGAGGCTTTCTCGTTTACTGGTGTGCTCTCCCTCCATTTCTGCCATATCTTCCTCTAAAATTATTGAAATGACCTCCTCTGTTAAAGTGTTGAGGATTTCGTTCAGTGAATAATCCATAAGGCCTTTGAATATTCATTTGATTCATGTTGGCTTGTAGTACACTAACTTCATTCTTTTTGTGTGTTTCTCTAGGCATTCTTCTTGAGCCATAAGAAGTGCCTCTATTTCACTTGCAATGTATGGTCAGATCTCGAAATAACAGATGTGATGAACACATCATATTCTTCACCAAGACCATCAAGAACTGCATCTATGTGATCTTCTGAGGTGACTGGAGCTCCTGCAGCTGCAAATGAATCGACTATTTTCTTGATTTGCAGCAAGTATTCTGAAACTGTAGAATCTTTATTGATGTTTTTCAACTAGATTTTTAATTGTTTTACCTTGGATCGAGTCTGAGAAGTAAAGAATTCCTCTAGTTTGTTCCAAACTTAATAAGAAGATTGACATCCAACCATCCTTGTATATAAGGATTCAGACATTGATGCAAGGAGCCATGACATCAGTAGTTGGTCTTGTTGTTGAGATGATTGATCTGCTTCATTGGTGATGAATCTCTGTAGATTAAATCCTCTTATGGTTGCCATAGCTTGTTGCTTCCAAGGAAGAAAATTTCCTTTAACCAGTTTGAAGGATATTAAATATGAAAATGTATGAAGTACAAGTTACATCGTAGCATTGTGAGCAGGTTGAGATTGTGCAGAAACGTTGTTGGTTTCCATGGATCGAAGAAGAAATGCTCTGATACCATGTAAGGTATCAGATTCAAGAATAAGAGATGAGAGAGAGAGAGAGAGAAATCAAGAGTAGATAAGAAATTGTATTATTAATAAAATGAGAAAATGACTTCTTGATTATATTACAATAGTTGGTAGGAATATATATATATATATATATATATATATATATATATATATATAATACTATTTATTAACTGATGCACAAGTGAGTAAGTTATAACTGCCTAGCTAATAATGCGGAGCATGTTAGAAGTTTGTTAAGTCAGTTCGTCTTTCAAAGTTATTTAATTCATATTCTTATTTTCATTTTTCAAACTAAAAAATAATCCTTCTAGTACGTAGATATCAAAAGTTTATGTGGAATAAAAATAAAATCTCTCGATTCGGACACACGAATCAAAAATTATGACTTTTCAAAAATGAATTAATTTATTGACAGTCTATACTCATTGCTTCTGATAGCAAATTTATCTCGTTCTATCACATGAAAGTTGAAACTCGCTACAACTGTGAGCGAATTTGGAGTTACGACACTTTGATAAATTTTTTCAATTTGGTAGCATTTCGAATTTTTTTTAAAAAAAAAGCGTGATAGGATAGTCAATGTCCCATACAATCTTTGATATTGTAAGGGGACTGTACTATAATTGATGTTTTTTATTTATTTATTACGTGATTGATGTTTTTTATTTTGCCAACGAGGTGCTCGAGTTGTGCATATTTGATAATATAAGAAAATTTCGATATTTAAGTTAATTGAGATACAGGATAATTATAATTATAGAGAGGTAAACGTATTGTGATTCTGAGTTCACACTGTAGAAACGTATTATCAAAGAAAGCAACGTAATTCATACACGTTTGGTTTTTCAATACTTTTTGCCTGCCCAATCAATTAACATGCGGCAGATTAGTAGCTGCAGAAGAGGTTTTAATGCTTAATATAATTGAGATTTATGGCGTGGTTGGTGTAAAAATAGAATAAATTATTTAAAATTAATTTTAATTTGGCTTTCTTTGAGAATAATGCATACGGGGCATTGTTTGCTGTAAAAGAGGTCTCCTAACGTGGAATAATGAGAACTAGACTCCAGATATAAAAATACAACTTTGGCTTGAGATATAAAAATGAAACTTTGAATGGAAGTCATGGAATCCCAAACGCTACGTGTACGATTAGTATAGGGTATAAATGCAATTTAAATACTATATGCCTTATTATTCATACTGTAGAAATAAAGTTGACATGTGATATATTATGTTGAAAAGCAATATATTCATCCAAAATGTATTTGGTTTTCAATAATTTGGCCTACTAAAGGAATAACGAATATGTACGAGTACGACCCTATTTCTTTTTCCCTATAGCATCACGATCATCCATTATTTAACATGAATTTTTTATAGGGGCTTTTTGATCGGTGTACCTTTTAATTAATAACTAATTATCAAATTAATCTTGCTTATAAACTATTATAAAAATTTAATATTTTCAACAAACGTAACACCAATCTATCCCTGTTTGATCGTTGATCATTAAGATATTCGAGTATCTCTCACCTTACTCATGTATATTTCGCGAAATAAATATGTTCTTACACATGTTGAATATTTACCAGGATAAGTAAAGAGAATACTTGGGTATATAATTATTTACCCGAGTAAAGATGAGATACCCAAATATAGACTACCTGGGTACACTAGTACAGTGGATCAAATATGGTTTGAGAAAAGAAATTGCACTTACTGTAACTGATAACAAATGGAATTGGTTTCAAGGTAGAACTCAAGGTAAACCTTATGGGCAAGGTCATCTAAGGTTCTAAGACATGTAGCCATTGAAGATTTGGGGTCACAATGGGAAAAGGAAAGCTTTCCAGAATCCCTCTGAAAGCAATCACTTAGATGCCAAGCTAGTCTAGACCTTTTGTCATCAGCAGCCAATATCTCAGAACACCTAGCAAAAACATTTGATAAGCGAGTTGCCAACATGAGTTTGAGCCAACCATTTTCTTTTTTGCATTCTCTACTAACTTCATTCCCCTTTGGTTGTTGAAGCCCTCAATGGAGAATTCAGCACTAGAACCTCTAAAAGTACCCTTATTGGCATAAGATCTATCACTAAAAGGGGTCTCTTTAGATGATGAAAACCAACCCATGATGACTCGCATCTTATTGTGAGAGAGAGCAAAATAAAAACAAGAAGATGACTCCCATTACCCATTTGAGGATTTTATCAGAGTTTTGTGTTGGAGTTCCACAAGTGTTGATTAAACCTGCATTGAACACACCATAAATTAATCAACTTGTGCCACCAGAAACTATTACCTCATTTGCAAGCATGCTAACAATTTAGAAGGTTCAATAGGAGATTATGTTCTGCGCATTTACTTTTCTTTTCAAAAACAAAAGTCCAAACACAGAGTTAATTTACATGTACAAATCTAGCAAAGGTTGATTTTAGATGAGACAAGAATGAATAAATTCCGATTTTCTTTAGAACCTTTGGTTGGATGTCTGAACAAACAAACAAAATCTCTATCCGGTACCCCTTTGTGGGTTTTCCAAATGGGACTGTTGAGTTTTTTAAAAACCCTATTCGTGACATTTACTCGGATATCCCCTTTTCTATTCGGGTAAATAATTCAAGTATTTTTTCAAATTATGAACAATCCTCGGGTATCCCTTTGACTATCCGAGTAGGGTTAAATCTTCAAATTATATCTTGGTATGCTTACCCAGATATTTTACCTAAACAAGATCAGATGGCTGATATGTTTTAATTGAAAGACGAATTAGTAATTAATTATTACATTAAAGTTATAGTGATCAAAAAGCCATTTTATAGGATATATCTAATGTTGTTATATAAATATTTTTTTTTATAACATTCATTACCTCCAACTGATAATTGTCCAAAAAGTCATAATTGGGGGATTAGAACGATCAATAAAATATTTATATGAGAAGATGAAGAGGTTAGAAACGTAAACTAAGATGATAGAGAAAAGCATATTTTAGCTTCGTGACACTAAATGTTTGTGCTGATTGAAGTTAGTAGGTAACTAAAGGCGCTGTGGGGAACTAATGTCGGTAATTGTAATGAGTCATATTCATGTAGTGGTGGTGAGAATATTAAAAATGGTGACAGACTGATAGTGATGGAGGAGCCAAAAGCTGCTGTGATGCAGTGAAGAACTATAAGACAATATAAACTTGGGAGGTTCCGTGACCTGTTTAAACTTTAGGGGCGTTTTGTACTAGAAAAAAAAAATTATCTAAAAATGATGATTATTAAGAATACGGTGGAAAAGTGAATTTATGGAAACGTTAATAAAAAATTGTTTGGTTGACTAAAATATTACTGAAAATATTGAATAAAAATTACTGAGTCTATGTTTGATTAATTGAGAAATATTACTGAGAATACAAGATTATTTTACAAAAATAACCCCTCAATATTCTAACCGAAGCATGATTTAGAGCCCGTTTGGATGAGTTTTTTTTTATTCAAAAGCTGCTTTTTTTAAGAAAAAAAAGTTCTTTTCGAAAAAAGTCTGTTTGGATACCTGCTTTTAAAAAAAACAGAAATCATAAAAAAGCTAAAAACTTACTTTTTTTCAAAAGCTAAAAATTTTAACTTTTAAAAAAAGCAAAAGTCAAAAGCCAAATATTTTTTTCAAAAATCAAATATTATTTTAAAAATCTAAATAGCTGAACTGATAAAAAAGACTTTATTAAAAAGTCCATAGAAACGCACCCTTACATTGATATGGGTTGCTTGTATCTGCATTTGGGTTTGTGAAAGGGTTGAAGTTTAATGATTTTGAGAGGAAGTAACTGTGACCCATGTGAAGAATCAGCACTAGTTTAAACAAATTTCGAACAACGGCAAGTCAAGGAGAAGGGTTTCTTTTGGGGAGTACAAGCGAGCAGTGTCATAGTCCAAGTATCTGGTTTCATCTGGGTCCAAGTTTGCTTCTGGCAGACAGCAAAGCAACGCAAGAGGACATAAGCTTACTGAGAACCAAGCAAAGCGTAAATCGACTTGTTTCACAGACAGCAACAAGGGTTACAGGGCATTTTCGTCTCACAAATTTGTTTCAATTTTTTCTTAGGTGTGAGATTTGTAAAATACCACACTATAATTGGTAATCTGAAATAAAAAATTTGTGTGTAAATGAGAATACAGAGAAAGAGAGATGTCAAGGAAAATTTTTGATGACCTTGTGCCAAACATGGCAATATAAGATTGCCATTGTAACTTTCCCATCAATCTAAAAAATTTCCTTATATCAAACACTCCTTAAATTATAATTTCAATTGGATGGTAATCTACCTTAAAAAAAGAAAAAAGGAAAAGAAAAAAAGAAGTTGTTATATATTGTTTAATTTCATTCACAATTATGAAAAACTAAAAAGGAATATAATTTTCTTATATATTTAGGTATGGTACCTTGCTATGTAGCACTAATACCAATACAGGACACGGGATATGACATGACATGACATGACACTCTGACACGTTAATTCTAAAAAATGTTAGATTTTAACACGTTTTGATATTAAATAATATTTTTAATTATTTAATGTATATTATATTTAATATTCAATAATTTAACAAAAAATTGAAGTTAAACTTATAATAGCTATCAATTTTGCAAAGAAACATAAGATATTCTAAATATTTATATTAAACTCAATAAAATGATAATTGTAATCCAACAAATCTTCACAACACAACACATCATTTGAACCTTTTTTTGAGTCTCTACAATGCTTGTTGAAGTGTCGAAAAGTGTCAAAAAATATCGAACATGATACATCAAAGTTTTTGAAGTGTCGATGCTTCATAAGTACGTTGTATTGTTTTTGATAGACCAAGGTAGCTTATACATTCATTCATTCAATAATTAATTCATTGATATTGTGTTATTTGTGCATAATTTGTGCCGCACACGTTTTCATGTCTATGATTTTATTTTTTAAAAGCTTCTTCACAAATAGAGGTAACCCTTTTTCAAAACGATTTTCTTATTTCGAAGATATAATTTAAATCTCAGATCTCAAGTTGACTGAAGCCGACCTTTATTGATGACACCTTCGATAAAGTAACAATCAAAGATACCAAAAGACAAAGCAGGAATAACGTGTTGCTTCACACAATTAGGGCAAGTCAGTCTGGACCAATCTAAACAGAATTAGAATATTTCTACATTTCACTCTGGTTGGGAGGAAACATGTTTATCAGAACGGAAAATTGTTTTTTTATGTGACAATGAGATAAAATTTCTCTATTACAATTACAAATACATGTAGAAAAAAAAGGAGAGAGAATATAAGAGAGAAAAAAAATATAAATGAGTCTCGTCTCTTTATATGTGTGAGTAGAAAAATTATTTTATCTTATGTTACATAAGAAAAATAATTCCCTAACAGAATATTAGCTCTTCTAATTTTTTGACACTAACAAGAATACACAGGCAAAGGTTGATAATAAAACAAACATAACAATTCAATTCCTCTTAACAGAGATGCACCGCATGAAGGGAATAAAGAAGCATGAAATTACAATCAAAATCTCAAATTGGAAAAAAGGGGCTAACCTGGGAAATTGAAGGAAAAATCGAAGAGTTAATCGATACAAAATCAACTCAAAATGTGATTTTGGAACCAAAGTTACAAGAACGAATAGATCCATAGCTTTAATCCTCCATTGCCAATACAAATCCAAATAAGGTCACGGAATTGCATCGCTTGAATCGGATCCAGCTTTCATCTTTTCCCCATTTTTTATTATCCTTTTCGATTAAAAAATATTTTTTTATTTTAACATTTTTACTTAAAAACACTTAAAATATTATATTTAAACGCAAAATAATTTTGACATTTTAAAAAAATTCTTTAAAAAAAACTTATAAAAAGTCATTTTTTTTTAAAAAAACCCATCCAAACTGGCCTGTAGTCGCCCATAGTCACAAAACGCGTGCGTACACATACAATAAGGAGCACTAAAATGTTGGAATTCCAGTTTCTAAAAATCATATAACAGCATCATGCAGTAACAAGAGCCTTCAGAAGAACAAATCCCTACACTTTGCGTAAAAATATCTTCAAATTACACCTCTCAACTAATATCATATGATATATGTGGATCAACATTATTGAATTAAAAAAAATTAGAAAGAAAATTCTCCTACAACAATTTCCATCTTCAACCGCCATTTAATTTAATAATTACATCAATCTAGCCTTAGAAGATGGACGCATCTGGGGGTGGTCCATATACAGTCATCCAAGAATGTGGAACTCTCCATTTTCCACCTTCAATTCCTGAAAATGCAATTATCAGAAATATTACCAATGGAGTTTTATGAGTTTTATTACTAGCAAATATGTCCATTGACTAGTTACAGTTAATCTTTAGCTTGTACAAAAGAACAGATGCGGATTTGGATATAAGGAGTAGTAGAAGGGAATTGTAGAATAGCTTGTATTGTACGTATGAAGTACGATGTAGGGAACTTGGGGTATTTATCATTCATATGTATTGCTAGATAACAGATACTGATACAAGAAATTCATCTGCGCCATAAAAATGGTATTTGGAGAGACACATTGCCTAAAATGAGGAATTTAGGAATAGGGACGCAAGGATTAGATTATATTAATTTTCAAAATCCACATTCAAGGGAAAAATCTGTCTGGAAAGATTATCTAATAAGTTATGGGGCAAAAAAAATAGTGAATCATAATATCCTTGAAACAGATCTTGGGAATAATCATTATTAGTTATAATATGACAATTTTGGTAAAAACCATTGTTCTGTCAATTTCACGGTGAATTTATTCAGACAAATGCCCTGCTTATTTGGCTGAATAACAAACAATAGATCAAAATCACTATACAAGGAAAAACAAAGTTAAATAAAGCTCACCAGAAGTAGGGTGAGTCAGCCTTAGAAGTTTGCATACTGCATCGGCTAATTGAAATGCATCAGATATGTTGTCTCCTTCTGAGCAGTAACATAACAAGCAGGTGACCTTCAAACCTTTAGCCTGATACATTAAACCAAAACTTCATAATCATCAATCCATATTAATGCTGTTTTTCTGCATTGTAATAAAAAGTTAAGTGATAACCCACCCTACTTCTCCCTCTTTTTTTCTTTAATAAAAATAAATAAATTGGTGAGATTAAATTTCACCATTCTCTGACATGGAGATTTATCCTGCATACGAAAAAAAAATTCCCAAAGCAATTGGCCTCACATTTATATCATAGCATGCAATCACGGTAGAGTCTCATAGCATGCCACGTAAAGAAAACTAAAACCAATTAAATAACTTTTTTTGTTTTGTTTTTGAAGAAACAAGTAAAAGTAGTTGATGACAACTGGCACCAATCATAAAACCAATGAGTAACATGATGAGAACATTTTCTCCCGTCCTCATTCCTCTGTAGATATGATTACAAGATTAACAAGAAATATGACTTATCATCAAAATTAACTGCAGATGTTACCTTGAGAAAAGAAAAAAGTGCAGCAAAAGGCAAGCTTGCGTAATAATTTTCTTCTTCTAGCTCATCTTCTACAGAAATAATATCTTCCCGAGTCGCATTTCCTTCAGCTAAATTGCTAAGATATTTCCAATGCTTTTGAGAAGAGTCATACTCCTGAAGTTTCTTCCACCCAAGCTGTTCACAGTTTTCATCCGTTCCATCACTGTTGGCACTAGATAAGTAATAAATCTGCAAACCACTATTATGATAACCAATAGATATATCAGAAATGGGAAACATCCCAATGCAATTTCCTACATCAAGTTGGATTCTTACATATTACAAGATTGTTACGGTGAGAAAGGACATAGTCTTCACGCATTTATAAATTGAAACAAATGAATTGAATATCATAATTAAAAAAAAATGCTCTTTCAAAATATTACTGCCTCACCTTGACATGTCAACTTTTTGCCACTTTCCAAAATCTAAGCTGGAGAGAACAACAATATGCTTCTTTCCACTACCAGCAAGAAAATCAGCCAAATTTTTTGCAAACTCAACCATCATACCCTATTCAAATGACCATGTATTAATTGCAATTTCTCCTTCCAGATTCCAAAATTACTTGTGTCAATTCAAGCATCAAAGCTAATAGAAAACATCCATGGAACTAACATTGAGGCGAAGTATAGTGCAAAAGTATCAAGAAGATTAATAAGTGATATGCCCAGTAAATTGTAACTTAATCCAGTCAAACCAGTAACCAAACAGACAAACACCCACAATTCTATGTTAGTGTTGATCCAAATATTTGGTAGTATTAACTGTACATGTTATTCTTCATAACTGCACTCTAAGAATGAATTTGGTAATCGGTATACCCTTTAAAATTGGAGGTGTGAATTTCAGAGATTAATTGTTCATATAATATACATCCGTGAACTTTCCACCTCCAATTTGAAGGGGACAGCAAACTAACCCTAAAAGAAATATGCAAAGCCTTAGACAACTCAAGGTTAGTAGTTTTATTGTGCATTTCCATGATGTCCATCATGGAAATACACAATAACACTGATCCGTTAATATATCCATCTATTAATAAATCTATGATAATCTATTGATTACTCCCATAGGAGATAGTGATGCCCATCATTACGGAGAATAAAAATTAGGAGCAACCAGCAGTAAGAATCAAGATTACAAACTTGAAGGACAGAGGAAGGATGGGGAGAAGGGGGGAATATATTAATGCTAATGCACACAAAAACAAAAGCAAGTAACATTCAAGCCCCAGCTTGTCCACATTCGAATTTCACTACCGACAGCATAGTTTCTGAGTAAGGAACAATCCACACATAAAAAATAACTTAATTATAGCCTGAAATCAGCATATTAGACTCAGGCAAGCAATGTCAGATTAAAGAAAGGAACAGAGAAAATGCTGCCTCAGGCGATACCTTAATCACTGGGGATCTCTGTTGGAGGATAGCGAGAGCATTGGAAGGGGAATCATAAGCTGCAAAGAAGTAATAAGGAAGAGCTGAACATTTTAAGAGCGGAGAATTTGAGATAATAAAAAAGAAAAACAAAACAATTATAGTAGTGGCAAAACAAGTAAAATGCAATGCAGCACCTTCAAGAGGAAGAGCAAGGTCTCCTTGAGGAAGTGGTCCATAAGCATCATTGCCAACACAGGGGAGAACGTAAGGATCATCCAAATACCCAACTCTCTCTGAATCCATTGATGTAATCAAAAGGTCTGCAGCTAACTGCCCCACATTCCCAATTGATAGAGCAGGCTAAACACACAAACACAAACAAAAGAGTGACAAAACCACCAAATTAATAATGGAGTACAAAAGTGAGCTAACCCCAATATTTCTACCATGCAGTGAATTGGAAAGTTAATGTCTTTTTTGCGGAATAAAGAGATTCATAACACAGTAGGGTGAAAGATAGAGGAATGAATACGGAAAAAAAAAAAAAAGAATGGGCGAAACCCTAGAAAATAATACAAACCAAAATCAAAGTGGAGCAATCCTCATGAAGGTGCTTTCCTTCTTCAGGAACGAACTCCATCTCCTATTCCAATGTTGAAATTTGTTTGTCAGTTTTCACCCTCCTTCAGCTCTTTCCACCTTTCCTAATTGCTACCCTTTTTTATTTTATTTTTCTTTTCAACTTGAAGAAGACGAAACAGAAAATCCCTTTTATGGGCCTTTTCGATACGGGCCGATTCTGGGCTTGTAATGGACCTTACAAAATATTCACATTAGAAATAAAAGATGACAGGCCTATCTCTTGTTCATGATATCTTTTAGCCCAATTCACATGTTTAGAATTAGAGTGTAAATGGGCTGAGCTAGGTTAGACTTTGGCTTAAATAGGTCAAGCCTGTGTAAAAAATATTGGGTATGGCCTGACCTATTAGCCTTGTGTAGGCTCCAAATTACAAGTCTGGTCTGACCTATAATCAAAAAATAAAAGCTTTGGCCTAGGCCTGTTAGTCTGTTTAAGCCTATTAAATATTCAACAATTAAATGAATAACTAAAATAATATTATTTTATTATTCAAAATTATTAAATAATAATTTTATTTATTATATTTTAAATAAATAATATGATATATGCCGGCTTGTAGGCTTATAGGCCTGACATATACAAAAAAAAAGCCTATGGCCTGTTTTCTAAATAGGTTTTTTTTAGAGTCTAAGCATATTATATTTTACTACTTGTAATAGGCCAAGTTTGGCCTAATATAGGCTAGGCTTTAGGCCCTTGTAAGCCGACCTAGTCCATTTACACCCTGTTTCTTTAGATTGACTTAGTTTGCCACGTTACGTCACTTTCTCTACTTGATAATCATAAATCTCTTTTTATTTTTTTTATTTTTTTGAGAGTGACTTAATTTGTTATGCTGACATGTATTTTCTTTAAATACAAGTTTCTTTTTGAATCTTGACTTAATGTGTAACGCACTAGCTTTTATCAAATGTCTCTACTCTCTACTCTGATTTTCTGTTCTTGGAAATACTTGAACACGTTATTCCGGGTTTTAGAGAGAGAGTTCGAATACATGAGTGTTACCATTGTGGATTAAGGTTATTATCATTGCATATTAGGATTATTACCATTTAATTTATATAAGAGTTAAGGTTGGTTGTGTAATGTATTTTGTTATATAAACCCACAACTGCTGCAATATGAGATTTATTTTTTACACATCATTTCATTGGAAAGAGTTAGGCATAGGGATTGTTGTCTGTTTTGCCCTTCTACTACATATATTATAATATTATACGGATTTAATGGAGAAAAGAGAGAACATAAAGGCTCTGCAAGTGATAATTTTATGAAAAACATTAAATCCATATTATATTCACCAACACTTAACTAATAAGTAATAACATCTGCGAAATAGTTGTTAAAGCTTATAATAAAGCTAATTTTGCAACATTTATAAAGCAAAATAATGTTGTTATTTTTTACGGAGTGTTTACAAATTTTCTCATGCCTTTCTTCACTTTTCCCTCATTACTTTCTTTTGCATGAATTTTTCTTCATCGTGAAACCTAGCCATTCTCATTTTGGCATCTCCACTTTCTCTGAAAACTAGATCTATTTTTCAACTTAATCTGAATGAAGTATGATAGCTCTAGAAATTGCAATTATTGGTTTTATCCATCCATCTTAGCATTATCCTCTTCTGAGCCTGATGCTTAATGGTTTCGTACAGTGTACCAGCACCTGACACGTACACTAAAGTTCCTTGACAAATATTGTCAACATCCCACAAAAGTCGCTTCTAACACACCTGTCCAACCAGAAAGAAAGTAGTGAATGAAATTAATCCAATTATAGAAAGATAATCCTGTGGCAAAACAAGTTAGAAATGGTCATAAACCAACTCATAGTTATCCTTAATTATTAAAGATAATACTATAAAGAAAACTGATACAGATATATATAGGAATGGAGCTACATCAGTGTGTTAAGTTACACCAACTATAATAAGTGGATTCCATATTATGTCTGATCAACTTAAAATCTTTAAGATAGTATCATAGGTCCATCCACTTACATGAATTTTACTTAATCCATTACTAACCAAAGTAAAATTTCATTACACTTAAATATCTCAACAAATTCTCATGAGGGGCCTAACTGGGTTTATCAGAGACACTGCTTTTAGGCTAGTCATTTAAGATATGGTCTATGGGCCAAAGCTCAGTATAGTGAAGTGTGTAGAAGCTAGCCATGTGTACAGCACTATGACTGTGGTTGGTAGCTACCATGTTTTGGTTTTGTTATATTGGATACCCTCTTGCTACTCCAACCAAAGCCGATATGGTCCAATAGTACTGTAGCCGCACGCCAAGTGTACAGCACTAAGGTCGATGGTTCATCATTTACCATCTAGAAATGGAAATTCTAGATCTTTTCCCATTCTTCGTATATTTTTATATAGCTCAATAATTGCAACAATCATAACAAGTATTATTATACTATGGACCATTCACAAAAACACAGGGCACTAGTAAAATATTAGCTTTATGTCCGCATAAGTAAAGATATTAATCAAATTAAAACGGGTGTTAGCTAGTGGCTTTGATATGCCAAAAATGACACAGAACAGAACTTGTGCTTTCTTGCTGAGTACTGTTGTTATACTGAGAAATTCTTAGCTGCTCTTGAAATATTTTTCCTTTTGCATGCATTACTTTATCTATATGTATTATTGTTGTCCACTGTTGCAACTCTTTTTTTAAGAATATAATTGAGATAATATACATTCCATGATATAAAGCAACTGAAATTTTTTTATTACAGGAAAACCTAAAAATTTTACAATTTAGAAGTATCATCCATTATTTACTAATGGGAGCTAGCAATTTGAATGTCTGCTGAAAAAACTTTTTTTTCTTAAAGAAAAACAATCTAAAAAAAAAAATTATGGTTAATGTATGGCAGAACACAAAAAGGAAAATGGGATGATGCCAAGAGGGACAGACAGATATATATGCTTGAAATCAATAATTGTGTTGGAGGCAAACAACAAGAAGCAGCAGCTACTTTATTGTTCTGCTTTTTCTCGGCTATAAAGAATCTCGTGGCAAAGGATAATAGATGAGTGCCACATTGTCAAGACTACCATAATTTTCCAATCATTTAAAGGCCTTAATTGACATTCTTGTTGATGCAGCCATTAACTTTAAGATTGGCTTTCATAATCATAGCCAACCAGCAAGTTAATTGATATATTTCTTCCATAAGATGAATTCGAAAGGAGCACAAAAAATGTGGAAGAGTTCCATATATATGTGGAAATGAGCTAGTTGAATGGATTGGAGATGAATAACCAATTGTAAAGGAAAAAGCTAACACATGTTACTGTAAAATTTTGTTTCCTCCTAGTCTAATTGTTTTTCGTGCAAGCTTTTTTCTTCATTTTTTTTTAATATTTGGCGAGTCCTACAAAAACATGTCCATGTAACATGATGTATTAATTTTCCTGTTACATAACATTCACAAAACCCAAAAATAAAATAAAGAAAGAAAGTGAAGATATTAGTAAGATTACCAGAAGGGTGTTTATTGGGAAAAGATGAGATAGATCTAGAACCCTTGATTCCACTGAACTCAACAAAACTACAACTCCTCAAACTTTTGTTGGTTAGTTAAGTTTAACAATAGCACCAATTAAAAATCATTGAATTTTAATACCCAAAAAGCGTTGAATTTAATTAGAATACTTTATACCAAGATTAATGAATCTATCCTTGATTCATCTACGTTTCATTGGGGATATTTATCATAATCATAATGACCAAGTGCAAGTACAACTACAAGTGTTTCTAACAACATCTAGCTAGTCAAATTTAGATTAATTAATCTCCAAGTCTAAGTTGGTTAGCGAATGTAAATTGCCGCCAAAATATCCATTATATGATTTTGTAATCTTCATAGTATGTGATTATGTTTGAGGATTATCAGACAAAGTTAAAAGAATTATTATACAACACCATCTCTCACGTCATAACTTCATGTATTTTTATACCATTTATTTGAGGCAGCCGTGACAGATCAATGGGACACTTGCCCCAAATTAATAGCAATGTTGAGCGCTTAGATTTTTTGCTAAACGTTTTTTGCCATTCTTTAATATCATTTTTTTATAAAAAATAAAAATTAGATCGCCACTAAAGTATATTACGTAAGAACCATGCTTGTGATTATGACATCGTGTTTGACAACTAGCAGACACAAAATCGCAAAGGGTACAAGTAAATTAATTTAAAGTATAGTACTTACTTGAATAGTTGAATAATTATTACAAGGAGTTTACCTTTTTATATTTTATTATTTTTGTAGCTTTAGGCATCATGGGAGGGATTGTGTCACTTACACATGTTGAAGAGGCAGGGCAGTTGGGTGCAACTACGAGTGATTGGCAACCATGCAAGAAGGGAACTCTGCATTTTTAGCCAAGTGTCTTAGACAAATTGCTAGCCCCATTTTAGGTGAGATTTTGACTTTTTGTGGCCTCGCAGCTGACACGTATATGTTTGTATGAACATTTTTTTTATATATTCATCAGACACTGAGATACGGAACGTAAAACATTGTCTTATAGAGTTGTAGCAGAAATATGAATCATGCGCGTGTATAAGCACTCCCGAATTTGAATTGAATGATCAACCACGGTGCAATTAATTGAATTCAAGCATACAGACAACGCAAAAGTTCATGTTGTAAAACATGAATCAAATGACAAACGTGCGAACCTATGTATCAATTAGCTTGTGTTGACTTCTTCCACACTCATGCGACATTCCATGTTCCGCGTATGTACATTATTTTGGGATTTTACTTTTCGTCTCTCTTGCGTAACAATCTTTTCAAAACAAAAACTGAAATGTTTAACATATTTATAACTCAAATAGTATTTAATATTTTCTTTTTAAATAATTAGATGCATGTGAATATATTTAATCCCACTAAATTAATACTTTTAAAGTACTTGTACTTAGCAATATTTCTATTTTTATACTATTTTTCACACTCCCTTATAATTTTTTTTTTGGATTACAGAGGAAAATAGAACATCCCTAATAAAAATTATAACCAGTAATCTTCTTTTTTCTTACTATAAGCTCTTTTAAG